GAATGAGAATCTATCAGAATCAGTTTGAAGTGAGCGTGTCACAGACAATAGCTTTCATGCAATCATAATCGATTGCAATAATGAGCAGTACAACGATCATTTGCTCGCAAATAATTTGCCGATGACCAAGTGCATTTGAAAATCTGAATGATGCGTCAAGATAATAAGCATGCGGTTGATGAAGTAAGACAATTTCAGTGATAAACGAAAGATGATATGCTTTGGAATGTGTGTGTTCATCCTTTATCATCTTCTCATGTTACCATGGCCTTTTTATCGTGGAATGTCGGATTCACGTTAGTCGCTTCTGACAATTCGATGTGAGATGGCTTGATTTAGAAAGCACTCAAAAACTCATTGAAACAGCATAAAATGAGATGATGAGGCGATTGTTCTCGTAAATGATTCAAAAACATCTCATCGAGTTGCAGAAAGATGAGAAACGTTGTCAGATATCAGGAAGAGCATTCGGCTGATCAAAATTGAACATACCAATGTAATCTCTTCACACTGTTGAAATAATCTATGAAATTATCGTCGTGAAATTAACGGTCAAGATTGTTAATATAACACAGTGCATACTTCTGAACAAGCATGATGTTGGGAAAAAAAACTAATCACAGTTAGCATTTTCAAATTAATTATCCAGGAATTTCAGTTGTCGCAAATACAAGTGCTGGAAATGATTGTCTACATTATGACTGGTGTAAATCCACGAAGAAGATTCCTTTACCCGTATTCATTATCACCACAGTTGTGTTCACTGGAATGGCCTTTTCAACAGTAGGAGCATCAAGTGGTGCACTTTTTTCCGAAGTCCTTGGCCCAAGGAATCAGGTTTGTTTGTATGCTATCTCGCATCACTGTTCTACAGAATTGGATTGCGAAAAAACAGTAAAGACATTCATAGGTACTGATTCTAAATTAGTCATCTTTATCATGATTAATTTTAACATCAACATTACCCAACTGAATCGAACACATTTGTTGCCTGAAAAGAGGTCACTTATACACTTTTTCGACGCAATCAACCATATGATTTTCTGAGAGTAACGCTGAGAAAGTATCAATTATTCATGAAATTGCACGCTGCTTTTGAACATTGCCATAATTTTGCACAGGGATTCATGCAAGGATTGTTCGCGTTTTTCGGAAGTGCTGGACGCTTTGTTGGACCGATTATATCCACGTGAGTTTTGCTGTTGTGCTCAAAACGGATGCAAAGACTCGTTATTTATGTCTGACAAACAATCTTTCAATGATTTCAGAGCAATTTTCCAAAGTGTTGGCTATATGGTGCCAATGCTAATGCTACTCGCAATGGTTGTGATAATTACCGGTGTTGTAATCATTTTCCATAAACGACTCGTTCCTCTGAGGTTGACACCTCCAATTGGTGTGAAGACTGCCTACAAAAATGGTGTTTTTTACCGCCTTTGAAAGTGGATAATTTATTATTAAAGCTGTGTATATGTTGTGCACTATGTCTGCGTAATCATTTGTATTTTGCGTAATCATTGCTTTCGTGTTTTTCGATGTATTTTGCCTTTTTCGATGTATAACATAATTTCCTGATGACATCGCTTTCAGAACCTTTTTTTGGATTCTAAAATGGATTCTATCATTTTCACTCAATGTCCCCGGCCTAATATTGCAGAAGTGAAATCAATATTATGTTCATTAACAATAAATTGACCACTGCTCAGAAGTACAAGCCAGTAAAATTGCTTACATCATCATTTAGTTTGAGCTTACTATAGATCCTTTTGCCAGCATTTCAACCTGATTTGCACACATTCCGTGTTAATTTTTTTAAAGCATCCATTATGCCAATGCTTGACAAAACCATAAATTTGTTTGCCGAGATATAAACCACATAGAACAGATTTGCTTGATCGAATGCCGCCATAGACTACAGTGCATCAACTAAGTACTACATCGAACAAACTATGAAGCACTAAATGACAGCAAATTCTCATCTTATCATTATTATCATCAGTTATCGACGCGGCAATAAAAGCTAAAAGCACCACTAATGATAATGCATAAACACCGATTGTGAATATCGATAGNGGACAACAGTAGTGTTTGTGTTGAGAATAGTATTCTCTACGTCAAATTCACTTGCATCGTTCGATGTCCGAATCAGCTGTACTGTGAGTGTGATCGCATTGGTGCATTCAACAGCGCCTGAGAAGTAATGGCAGGTGTCCAGCTTAAAGAAAACCAAGCAAAAGAGTATGTTTTCAATAATTTTCTGTTCGATTCTCCCTCGTTATCATAACGGATTTCGGATTAAACGCACGCAAATCTGATCGTGAGACGAATTGCTTTCATAGGATTCAAGATCGATTTACAGCTTACTCATTTTGTTAATTGCAAACGGTCGCAAAACGCCTCTTTGAATGCTTTCAGAACGTCATCCAGCATGAATAAATGCCTGATCGTTAGTATGTTTCCCATTCATAAAGTGAAGTTCAAATGTTCACAATCCAGTACTCGAATTCATTTGCCAAACAAACAATTCAAAGAGTGCGAAAATATTCTCACACTGTGAATGTAGAATAATATGTTATCGTATGCGCATTTACTTGTCATAACATGATGCCATATATGACGATAGAGTGTTTGAGAGCGAAATTCATTACTAGATCACAATTCATAGTGTTTTTATAGTTGATCGAGCTATAGAGTTACTCATGAATACAACTTGTGCATGTTGATGAGAGTTGAATAATTTACACGGATCAGCGCAATGATCAGCTGCCTACAGGATACTCGCAAGGAATGCAAGGGGGCTTCATTTCGAAAGCATAAAATTGGCTTCTAAGGTCTCATGTCAACTGCTTGAGCGATAGTCAGCGCTTGCCGATTCTGATTTTGAAATTTGCGTTCTGAAAGATCCCAGAATATCGAGATTTGTTGTTGAAACGTGACGATTTAAATATGCTCCGCAATTTACTCAACTTGACTTATACAACAGCCGTTCCAGTTCATTCATATTCAGTAACAGTCGGGACCAAACCACGATCGCAGCGTTGAGAAATGGTCAGTTTTTTGAAAATACTAGTGCTAGCTGATAGGAGGAGAATTTCCTTATCGACTCAGTGAACATGCAGTGAACACATGTAGTTTGATATTTTGAAGCCCGCTGTTTACTGGATGAATTCATCGGTGGCGTTTATGTCAACAGTTTTATGGTCGGACCTTTGGTGTCAGTTCATTTTTATGTTGCTCACACAGTTCACTCCATTTATCAATCGCCCTTTCCGCTTCACCAATGATAACGATTTACTCTGACGGAAATTTCATAGTTTCATCCAGTTTCAGAATTATTTCATTCATAAAAATTCATTCACTAAGCAAAAGTTTCTTCAAAAAATTGCAGTAACTAAAAATTAAAGCGTTTAGATATCTGAGTGAAAAATATACCATCAGAGTGGCGTTCTATCATAACTAACAACTGCATGGAATAATAAGTTCCCGATCCCTTCCACTAACCCTCTGAAACCCTCAAATTACCCAAAACGGGTAATTTCACTCTGTATAGGAACTACTCTCCTAGACCGTTGTGTTGCTCATGATTGCAGTCGATTATGATTGCATGAAAAGCTATTGTCTATGACACACTCATTTCGAAATGATTTAGATGGATTCTCATTCTTTTCAGACGTGTTGTATTCGCTCTCATATCTATCACATGCGAATACCGTTTTCTTCACGACTTTTTCTCATTCACTTCGTTTCATTTCATTTCACAGTTCGAATCGATTTCTCATTCTGTAGCATATACTGTTTACTGGATATGTTGACGAGTGTTGACAATCGAAGTCAACAATAGAACAATTGAATTGAATTGCTGAACAACATTCGACAGTTACATGGTCAATTATAGAGTGTGTATGATAGAATGAGAATTTGGTTTTAACTGCTGACTGAAATGAATGAGAAATTAGCAGAAGAGAACACTTTTGATGATAAAAGCTATGAGAGCGATTGTAACAGCAAGGAAAAGAATGAAAACCCTGTTAAAACGAATCAAAACCCTGTTAGACCCGAACGAGCTAATGATACTGAGAAAATGTGAGAGTGCTGCCATCAACATTTACATATCCAAGTTAAAAAAAACACCACGACGATGGTGTTCTATCATAAAATAACAGCTGCACGAAATACTAATTTCACGACACCCTCCATTACCCCTTAACACCCCCAAATTTCACAAAATGAGTAATTTCACCAGTATGAGAACCAGTGTCATAACATCAGTCCCACGAAACAAAAGGCATATAGTATCGAAACAATCCTATGATAACGCATGTAATTCCCACGCATTATATGCATATGTGATCTTCGCATTACGATACGATCGCTCGTAAAAAGCCGTAAGCAATTAAAAAATCTGTTTGTGAAATTCATGCAATATACACAATTTGATTTTTGTAAATTATTCAATACACTCAGTTGATTCAATTCACTGCGTATTTTGCATTAATTCTGATCGCAGTTAATAATTACTCTCACCTTTTAGTCCAGTTTCGGCGGTCACAGAATTGGAAGCTCGCAAATCACCATGGTTTTCCATATGGCTTTGCAATATCCTTCAACTGCTCAACGGGATTCAATTTTCAATTCTGTTCACATCAATGTGGCCATATCTCAGAATCGTTAGTAGCACAAAACAAATACTCTCCTTGAATTTTCTCTCACTGTCAACCTGAATCATCAGAATCTATCTAGAGAAAACAGCACCACTTTTCCGTTAGCCTTGGAACTATTTTCAGATATTTTTGCAATATCTGTTCAGCCAACCAATACTTTAAACGGCTTCATCACCAAAACACCAAGTTCGTTTGATTGCAGCTCGACTCATCAGCAGATTTGAATTTCTACGGATGGATCGTAGCAGTATTTCCACTCGGTCAAACCATCGGATCCTTTCTTTTCGGTGTTTGGAATCAAAAAACCAAATCTGCTAAACATCCAACTGCTGTCGGTGTTATAATAATGGGTGTGGGCAATTTACTTTATGGAACACTGCCTTTATATCGTCGCGGTGCTAAATGGGCCATGCTGATTGCAAGGTTCATTGTCGGTGTAGGATCGGGTTCGTTTCATTGCATGCTATGAATTCACGCTACTATGCGCTATTGTTCGTGCGCAACCATGTGGAGAGTTTTTAGATGAGCGATTCGAGCATGAGATCGTAGATAGTTTTCTTATTGATGAAGACGCACACCATCAATGACAAGAGAAGCTGAATTGTGTCAATAACGTCTGTTATTACTGATTTCGAAAATTCACCATTCTCAAAACATATAAGTTGTACCATTAGCTGTTTACTGAGCATTGCATTAGACAGAATGACACATCATGTACTCTTGGGGGAACAGGTAAACAGATGTCGAATAAGAGACTGGCGCTGAAATGAAGTGTTTACTGATGTGTTCAAACAATTGACATCAAATCAGTTTCTGGGGTCAAGTCTAAAGTGAAAGCATGCATGTTCAAGTAAAAAGGCTTATATAGCGACATTGTTGCATTAATCATGACGATCAGATGACCGGTGATGATCAAAATTTCTACGCTTCATTATCGTCCGATATTCAGACTTTTATAAAAAGAACTAGATGAATAAGTATGAGTTGATGGAGTTTCTTTCAAGAAGATTCGTGTTATTCTGATAGCTCAGTTCAGATAGCATCTTCGGTCAAACATGAACTTATTGATGACTATTTTTGACCGATTCACGTATCAGTTGTGAGATTCACATATCACTAGCAGTGCTGAACTGAAATTGTATCACTTAGTCGTCAGTTGAGTTCACGAATACGAAATCTCGGCGTAATCTTAAATGCACCACCATTTTTGTGGTGATGACATTTCAGAGGCAATTTTATTAACAGAACCGTCACATTTGAAGGTAATCTGAGTGTTTTGCGGACATACGTTGCAGTGGGTGCAGCGCCTAAAGATCGAGTAAGTGCCCTGTCGTTTGGCATTGCGCTGTTTGTGCTTGGACTTTCGATTGGACCCGTTGCTATGGTATTATGCATTTTTCATTTAGTTCATGATTGATGATTTCTCAGAGATTTTTCGTTAGCACTTAGCTCTTGGCATTTTTTGAAACTTAATCGATTTCGAACTGAATGAATCCTTGTCAAATTAATTAAAGTTGATGTTCACGCCTCTTGGAGAGGAGGGTTTCTATCTGGGAGCGTTACGAATCTCTATGTACAATTTACCAGCATGGGCAATGGTTATTGTTGCGCTTGTATCGTTGTTACTTTTGTACACTTGCTTCCAAGAGAAGTACGCCGGCATTCTTACAAATAAAGACGATCAAGGTCAGTTGTACTTATCATTTATATCATATGCATATATTTTGCCGTGAATTTTCGAAATATTACGCATGCATACTGAGCCGATAACGCCTCGTTGCGCTCATTGCATTGAAAAAAACAGCACTTTTGATGATATTTTCTGGCTTGAGCAACAAACAGACTACTGCAACGAAGAAGTTTGCTATTTGCTGATTGGTACTCAATGACTCGTGTGATTCGCAATGCGTTCGACTGTACTACAGCCGCTTGTGCTAACCAAAAGCGAGTCTTTCTTGCAACTCCCACATCTCTTTAGCCATGAAAGAAACTCCGACCGGAGACAAGTAAATGTATCAGTTACGACCACCAACACTGTGTTT